TAAAAATGTATCGTTTCATGCATCGGTTAAAAAACTCGACTCCAGCTACACGAGCTGGAAACACTTCCCGCAAGTCGAGCTGCCCGAGATTCATCAAATTTACAGAAAACGTTACATTTTTGTGATTTATATCGTTATCGGACGATAGATGTCTTATATCGGGATATGAGATTTTGGTCGTATCACACAGCCCTACCTCAAACTGCTAAATGTTTGAATCCTTGACACAGTTGCATATTCCAACAGTTCCAGCAGGTCAATGATCCAAAACACATCAGAACTGGTTTTGGAATGAATAGAGAGGGCTAACATTTAACTTCTGGAATAGCCTTTCCAAAAGACCTGACCTCAACCCTACTGGGTCTGTGCCAAAACACCAACCAGTTTTAACAAACTCTATTAACCCTCTCAAGAAGAGTGTGGTCAAATACAAGAATTTCGCCACAGTCTTTCTAATTGCTACCAAAGCCAGTTGGCCATAATGCAACGTGGAACATTTAACCAAATAATTGTGACTTGCGATCAGAGAAAATCCAAAATGGATTTTAAAGGCACTGAAGATGACAATAATTTCTCCTGAGAAAAAGGACAGCTCAAAGAAATCATCAAACGTCCAGAATTACCATGGCATTTATGCCCATGATGAGTGTATGTAAAAGTCTGACCACTACTGTATACTTTGCAAGTGATTATAAAAAAGACAAAAGGATAAGATCATTGTTTTATTACTTCCCAACAGCAGTACATTTGAGAAAATACTTTGCAACTCACCATAAAGATAGCACTTGATTGCACACTAACATCTGCTCTGCTGTGATCGTACTCTGCTGCATGTGCTGCAGATAGTGCTGAAAGTATTGTAAACAACAGAGTCAGAGCTGTTCTGCAGGACAAGCTACGAGTTCACTACATTCTACACTGTTTTCTTAAGTTCCCTATTACCAAATATCAAACAACATCAAGATTTTTCCCGACTAAGAATGGACGTTTGGTCGCCAACTATGCCAACACCAGTATATATGTGCCATTTTCTTTATCTGCTTAAACGACAGGATTCCACTTTTATTGCTGTTACCCAAATTGGTGTTAAGCCCCCCCAAAAGTCACCTTTTTACTGCCCCAGTATTTGCAGAAGTGTGCTTTAAAGGGTCAGCTCAAAAGAGTGACTTGGAGCAAATAGGAAAGCTCTTTAAAAAACTGCATTGTAAAGCATAACCACCAGAGAGCACAATAAGCCAGAGATAACTTCTCTTTCATGTTTTTAGTGGGTGTAACAGGCTTACCAATGTCTTATCAGTCGTCTGAATTAACCCGCTGCACTGTGGTTTTGACAGGACTTTGCATGCATGCTATTTTAATTTTGTATATCTTTATCAAACCAGTGTTATCTCTTGTGAGTGAGATAAAAGAAAATGCCTTTAAATGATTCTGCACAGAATTACTGGACATGCAGTTGGCCATAGAAACTGAAGCAGAGCACTTGAACAGGAAGCTTAACTTTATGTGGTTAGCCAAGCATCGCAGAGCCTTTGAGCACATACAGGAAGTCCCATCGATGCTCTGTCTCAAAACGTACTCACTTTGCCTGTGAGCCGTCATTCTCACACACCAAAATATTTGCCTCAAAATGTCCCAGGGAAAGGATCAGTCCTTCGCCAGCCGTTTTTTTAACAAATACAAAAGTAAAGGTAGCCAAGAGAACAGAGTACAGGAGAGCGACGTGCCGCATATCTCTGAGTTCACCATCATGTGGGATAAGTGCAGTAAGTGCAGTTCATTGCTTTACTCTTAGATTTGCCCGCCACTTCTTGGGTTTCAGGTTTGCATTTTCTACCTTTATAGTTCCGTAGAAACACTTATTAAATCAACTGATTCTGTATAAATTGCATTATTTCGAATTGTTTTTTGGCACGCCTCTATTTTTGTCATTTGCAAGAAGCTGCCTAGTTTCATTACTGCTTTTAACTATTTAGAGGTACCTTAACCATCAATTTAACAACCTGTATTTGTCCGTTTTTTTAGATCTACCAGAGAAGGCATAACGCTTTGTAGTGCAGCCCATTTGTGGTGCTTCAGCTGCTTACATTGTCTTAATATCTGTGTCTTGTCATTGTGTAACGTTTTGCAAGAAAGAAATGCATTTTATGTAAACCTTTAAAATGTCTCTTCAATCAGTGTTGTCCTTTGTTCTTCACAGACCAAAGAAGCCTCTAAAAGTGGCACAAAAGATAGAAAGAGTTCGATTTAATTGCTGAATACAGTCTAGTGTTAAAAAAAGACTGTGGGCTAAAATAACTGCTTGTTGCTCAATTGTTTAAAAAAAAGAAGAAAAAAAAGAAACTATTTTCTTGATGTTGCACAATAAGACGTAAACTTCCTTAAATATTTTAGCTGACGTTTTCAGAGACGATAAAGGAAGTCACCAAACCAAAATAATCACATTACTTCAGTGTAGAAGAGTTTTATAAGTTTTAAATTTAGTCTGGCGGTAGGCTTTGCCTTACGTTGTCTCCTCTGTTATCATTTTGTTGTGTGAATCTAAAATGTGTTTTACATTATTTTCTTTCAAGACTTCATAAATGCTTCTTCCTCTCTTTCTCTTCTCCATCATTTCCATCCATGTGGATGAATGTTCCTGCAAACCCTTGGTGAACTGTAGAGACTTTTGGTATGCTCATTTTTCCATGAGGCGTCCCGAGTCAAAGAGTGAAAGTTTGTTGTCTCACTTTTAGTCAAACGCAGCCTTGACTGTATAGATTTAAATTGGTAGCAACATACCAAAGTGTAGCGGCACTGTAAGCACCATCTGATGGCTCTTTGACTTTGGAAAGCTCATGTCTGCAGTGACTTTCACAGTACGCTGTCTTTCTGTGGCTTGCTCTGTAGTCTCAGATCTGTTCTGCATTTTGTCTGTCTCACTACCTGCCTCACTGCCTTTACCCCACCTCCTCCTGAAAGAGATGCAGAATAGCTTGCCTTTAAATTGGCCAACTTGTAAAGTCTTCAGAGCTCTTTGCATCACTTTATGAATTAACATGTCCTGCTAAGGTGTGTGGTTTGAGGGTTTGGGTTGTTTCTTTTCAATAGAAATATTTTTTCCTCTTTTGTCAAGTATGACATTTCCTCCCTGGTACTTGACCTTTGCTTGACCTTGCCTTGATTGTGTGAACTGCCCTTGTTTGTTTTTCTTGAACATGTTAAACTATCCCAGTTTGTTTTCCTGAGCATGTGCACTGACCTTGTCCGGTTATCTAAACTCTAATTCTAATTATCAAAACCGATCTTTTCTTTTATAGTGAAAGAGTTCTTAGCTAAAGCCAAAGAAGACTTCTTAAGAAAATGGGAGTGTCCACCACAGGTGGGTTGTTGTTTAAGGGTAATGTATAAACGTTTTCTCTGATTAGTACACTTTTTTATTCTTATTTGAGTAAAAATGAGAGATTCAGTTGTGCCTCGTCATTTCCTTCTTGTTGACTTGAATGCTGGCCGATTGCATAATTGTGTCAGAGGCATGTGCTTCAAAAACATTTCCATTAAGCTTGTGTTTTTGAGCTACAGTGCATGAAGATAAACAGCTAGTGGCTTCCATAAGTACACATAGTTTAACATTTGCTAGTGTTGGTTGTTTTCCTGCCACTGATAATGTGTTTCCTTTAGTGCACAACAAGCCTGGATGACTTTGAAAGGTTCAAGACCCTGGGGACTGGATCATTTGGACGAGTAATGCTCGTGAAACATAAAGCAACAAACCAGTTCTATGCCATGAAGATCCTGGACAAACAGAAGGTAAGCGAATGGCTTGCATTTGCATCCATAAGAGCTGGTGTTGTAAACTGCAAAGATGTTGTGTTTCTCATAAAAGGAAATGGAGCGTTTCCTCTCAGCACTAACATTATGTTTTTGAAAACCTCAAAGGCGCCTCACGCCGCAGTTTCGATCTTTAAATACTGATGTGAAAGTTTAGAGGCAGATTGGCCTGCCGGTAGTGCCTTGCTCATGTAGCAACCTCGTGTTCCCCTGAATTTCACCATCAGCTCAAGAGGTGAACCTGTCTAGCTTTTGGTTTCGCTCCACAGTTACAACCACAGCTTTCACACTTTTTTTCCACTGTATGGATGTTATTGTTTGTTTCTGCAGCCATTACTTTCCACTAGCGTCCTCCGGTACAGCATGAGACGATACCGTCGAAAACATAAACTGTATATCCTCTAAATGTCCTGCTGAGCGATGTCTCACAGTTTGTTCGGGTTGGTGATGTCTTGATGTCTCAGAATTAACAGTAAGCTTATAACCAAAAGCATTTTCTACTTTCAGCTTTTGGCTGCATAGCTCGTGGTGTGCACAGTGTCACTGGGCAGCGGTTTCTGCAAGGTTTTGTGCATCAGCTCGTGTTAAATAGATTTTTTTATCTTTCGACTGCGTGTCCATGCAGCAATAACAGGACTTAAACACCACAGGAAGTCCTTAGTGATGGATTATCTATCTTAAATTGAATAGTTTGATTTTAATCCCTCACCAAAATTTACTCTAAACTGTGTGGAGAGTCACAGAAACACAGTTAAAAAATAAAAAAATGTAATACGTTTGAAGCTGCGGTAAAACATGGAAAAAAACAAGAGGGCACCTCAAAGAGTTATTAACATCACCTGGAAAATCATCGGCCACCCTTTCCCTGCCTGAAGGACCTCTACAGCACCTGCTGTCTCAGACGAGTGCACAGCATGGTGCCGGTCTGAGGAACACCCGGGACACTGGGCGTTTTATCTGCTGCCCTCTGAGAGATTTGGTCACAGACAAATAAACCCAGGGACAGTTTTTACAACAAGCCAACGACTGTAATCATTGCTAATACCTGACCTGATCTGATTAGCTATTTTCTTATGTTTATGTCTCTGCACACACATTTCATTTTTACACTTATTGTATATATTTTATTCTGTACGGATGTTATTTATTGAGGTTACCGCTTGCCTTTATTTTAGCATGAGTGTGGGACAGCACTGCAACTTCGTTGATATGATTTTTTTGTTCATGTCTCTGCCTTTTTTCTTTTTTCCCCTTTAGGTGGTGAAATTGAAGCAGATAGAACACACGCTAAACGAAAAAAAAATATTGCAGGCCGTCTCCTTCCCCTTCCTCGTCAGACTGGTGTACGCTTTCAAGGTAAGGACAAAACAAAGGTGTAAAGATTGTATTTGTTCCAGACAGTTAATCCTGTCGGTTAATTGGCCAACATGTCGTCATCACATTTAGATTAAATACCAAGTCCCCTGGTTGCTTTTGTCCTGTGACAGAGTTATTTCACACAAGAGAACAGAAACTTAACTTTAAACTGCACATGTGGTTAGTCTCTTGTCCTAATGTCATTAATTTCTCATATTTATATACATATATATATGTATTCTTTAAATTAACAGGACAACTCAAACCTCTACATGGTAATGGAATATGTTCCTGGTGGAGAGATGTTCTCACACCTCAGACGCACTGGGAGGTTCAGGTATTATGCACATAATTATTGTTATCGTTCGGTTGTTTTTGTTTGCGATTGCTGTTGTAGCCACAAATAGCTGAACAAAAGCAATTTCAGGTGTTCTGTTTTGGTCTGTCAGAGCTATAAATGAATTAGAAACCTACACCTATATAGTGTTTGACTGAGTTGTCTTTCATTCAGAAGAGACTTGAGTTCCTTCATATTTTCCGTCAGTATCTGACTGTCTGTGTTTCCTTCTCTCAGTGAACACCATGCTCGATTTTATGCAGCTCAGATCGTGCTCACCTTTGAGTACCTTCACTCCTTAGACCTCATCTACAGAGACCTGAAGCCTGAAAACCTGCTCATAGACCAACATGGGTATATCCAGGTATATAGTCAATGTAAAGAAATAAAAGTAGTGGAAAGGCATCAGCAAATCAGAAACAGTGTGTTAATAGGACAGCCTGGGGGCGGAAGCCTTCAGATGTTAGTTTATAGCTGGACAAAACTGAAGCAAGATACATCTTAAAGACTTTAGGTCACATTGTTCTGTGTTTGCAGTCAGTCTAAAACCAGACCTGAGAGGTTGTGACATGTACGTGCTCGATGTTGTCTCTAAAATAACGTTCTATAAGTCGTATTAGCCTAAATTATTGTAAATAAACATATAAAGAAGACAGGGTTTTTAATAATCTCTACTGGCAGAGATTAGAGCCACTGAAACTGTCACTAGATTAAAAGCCATGATAAAAAGTCTATTACACCGAAACAGATCTGCCAGTCTGAAATGTTAATTCGAGTGGTAAACTCTGCGTTGTAACCTGGTTAAACAGTTTCAGAAAACCACAGTTCTCACAGGTCCTGTGTGTAGTTCAGTGGGTTTTGATTTAGTGCGTTTCTGCCTGTGACAGTAACATTTGTGTCTGTCAAACCTGTGATAGTTCAGTCAACCTGCACTGTTATAGTCCTGCATGGTTACCTTTATGTATTTATTCTTCTTATAACAATTGTGTTGTTTTTTTTATCTCAGGTCACAGACTTTGGCTTTGCCAAAAGAGTAAAGGGCAGGACCTGGACGTTGTGTGGAACTCCTGAGTATCTGGCTCCAGAGATCATCCTCAGCAAGGTGAGGCTTCATACACTGTTAGCTCATCTTACATGTTTGAATGTCCGGCTGGAGGCTGCTGGGTGATGGTTCAGTTTGTGTGCTGACCTTTGTGCACAAATCCACATTTATATTGAATCAATTGTCATTTAGAAATTCAAACAAACAGCTAATTGATCTCACTCCAGTTAAGCACATTTTTCACTGGCAGCCTTTGACACCGAGTGTCAGCTGATGTCTTTCCTTACAGATTTGAGTCAGTGCTGAGGTTAAATTATTCTTTGTCCCATATAACTACGGGATATTAATACATCAGGATATAATTCTTGTATTAGTCATACAGTGTAGATCTAGAGGCCCACAAAATAAGCCGTGGAGAGAGCTTTACCAGTACTGCCTTTGTTTTGTTTAAAGCTCGTTCTGCTGTAGCACAGAGGCTTTACAACAACGAGCCACTGTCCTGGTCTTTATCTGTCTCGATCGTGGCTCAAGAGTTGCGAGTTCGCCTTGTAATCGGAAGGTTGCCGGTTCGAGCCCCGGCTCGGACAGTCTCGGTCGTTGTGTCCTTGGGCGAGACACTTCACCCGTTGCCTACTGGTGGTGGTCAGAGGGCCCGGTGGCGCCAGTGTCCGGCAGCCTCGCCTCTGTCAGTGCGCCCCAGGGTGGCTGTGGCTACAATGTAGCTGCCATCACCAGTGTGTGAATGTGTGTGTGAGGGCCATTTACATTCTTCAGTATCGCTTCATATGTTTAGAAACGGGGACACTGAACCTTCTCTCCTCGGGGACTGTTTTTGCAAAAAAAGCTTAAACATAAATATTAATACATCAGATAAAATAAATAAATAGTAAATTACACATTACTGATCTTTCTTTGAAGTCATTTATTAAAAAAAAAACAGTGATGGAATTAATTTACATTGGCATTACATGTTATAATTAATCAAATGAGAGCCTGAGAGTCCATTTTACCAAAAATGTTCTTGAATTAAATATTAAGTATCTGGTCCGGGTCTATAGAGGCCATTCAGGCCTTAGCAGACCCCCTATGACGTCTTCCAGGTAGTTCTTTTGCTACTGGCTCAAAGAAAGTCAGCTCGTTCCCATTAATGTTCAGCGGACATGTGAACTCTGGCTTTAAAACGAAAAGTCTGACACGGAGAGTAGATTATATCATCAGAGGCATCAGTAGAAACATCAGACTAGATAGAAATGACTTTACTATTACTCTGTACTTGGACAAGTGAGTACAGAGGGTGGTCAGTTAAGAGATGCCCTTATCCTGGAGGTCAAAATTGCACCTGTGCCCTGTGTTGGGCTTCTTTAGCTCTCTGAGTCAGACTATCTCCAAATTTGAGATAATTTGTTACTTTTGCCTTTCTAATTAAAAATAGACCAAGAAAAGTCTTTAAAATTTGATGAAACATTTTTTTTCTTTCAGGGCTACAACAAAGCTGTGGACTGGTGGGCTCTTGGAGTTCTTGTCTACGAGATGGCTGCTGGTTACCCTCCTTTTTTCGCTGATCAGCCTATCCAGATTTATGAAAAAATTGTTTCTGGCAAGGTATGCAAAGATAAGCAGGAGCAATGTTTGAGCTTTACTTTTTCCAATGTTTAAATGCTCTGATATTAGTTGGTGAAGCTAGATGAGTTTAAATATCTGGGGTCAACCATCCAAAATGCACAAGAGAGGTGAAGAAGAGAGTGCAGGTGGGGTGAAGTGGGTGGAGACGAGTGTCAGGGATGATTTGTGACAGAAGGATAGCAGCAAGAGTGAAAGGGAAGGTTTACAAGATGGTAGTGGTGTTGTGATGTGCGGCTTGGAGGCAGTGGCACAAGAGCTGGAACTCTGGGTGGCAGACTTTAAGATGCTCAGATTTGACCAAGAGGGACAGCACAGGATGAGCGGTTTGGAGACAACGTTAGAGAGGCAAAAAGGAGATGGTTGAACATGGAGCTGCTGGGCCAGAGTAAGACCTCAGAGAAGATTCATGGATGTAGTGAAGGAGGACATGCAGAGGATTGGTTTGGCAGACGAAGATGCTGAGGATAGGGTGGAGGCAGATGATCTGCTGTGGCAACCAGCCAGAAGAAGGAGGACACTGCTGACTACCATCGGGACCAGCTTGCTTTTGGCTTTCCAGTTGTTCTTTAGTGCTTTTAGCTGTTTTATTTCAGCGTAATAAGCGAAACAGTGAAAGTATTTTTCTGCAATTTGTGTTTCATAACCCACATCTTTGATTTATTTATGTATTTTTGCAATTCTGCAGGTTCGATTTCCCTCTCACTTTAGCTCCGACCTCAAGGATCTGCTGAGGAACCTGCTTCAGGTTGACCTGACAAAGAGATTTGGGAACCTGAAGAATGGTGTCAATGACATAAAGAATCACAAGTGGTTCTCCACAACAGACTGGATTGCCATCTATGAGCGAAAGGTTGGTGTTTTTGTTTTTTTCCCAGGGAAAATAATCAGTGTGTTGCTCGCGCTTCCTTTTTTGGATGTGGTTCATATTAAAATGGAAAATTCATATCCTCCTAAATTCTCAGGTTGAAGCTCCCTTCTTGCCAAAGTGCAGAGGACCAGGAGACACAAGCAACTTTGATGACTATGAAGAGGAGGAGATCCGTGTATCGCAAACAGAAAAGTGTGCGAAAGAGTTTGCTGACTTCTAGTGAACGAGCAAGAGTCCCAATCAGGGCTCTTGTGTTTTGGGATATTTGCACTCCGCTGAGGGTTAAGATGGAACTGAGGCCATCACGTGCTCAAACAAATGCCTAGTTCCTTCAGTCCACACAGCCGAATGAGCTCCTTTTTTTGCCATGATCCTGCGTGCTGTTAGCACTAATCTATACACAGGCACATTATGCAGACACCCCTCGTGCTGCAACACAGAGTACCAGACCACGTTCCTGTTGTGTTTCTTTTTTTTACCTTGTTTTCTATGTTTGCCACTGTCTGTGTCCTGTCGTCCCTTATTTAAGTTCTTATTTGAGAAGCAACTTGAAGACGAATATTAATCTTACTTTGAAGCAGCTAGCTGGTGTTGCACATGATGTGGTTTTTAGGCTTTTGGATAACTAAGGGACACTTTTGGGCGTTTTGGGCAGAGCGTTTAAATACCTGATATCTCATTGGCTGTTACACGTTTTCTGTTACATGACTTAGTTTCCCGTAGGATTCAGTTTAGTATTCCTTAATCAGAAACACTGAAAGTAAATCTAAAGCTAAAGCCAGGATTTGAAAATAGATGGCGCCTCTCGCTGCTGCTCTCCATCTCCGTCCGAAGCCCCTCCCATCAGCCGAGCACAGGCTGCAAATGCAAACTTTTGGCTTCACGCAACATCCAAACCCATCTCTACAAGGTGAAAGTTAGATTTCTAACCCACGGCACCAGTTTGTCTTTATTTCTGTGCTGATGTTCTCCTTCCTTTTTATACCACTTTACCTGGTGTCGTTTGAAAGACCCGTGATAGGCCAGAGTCTCCCTTCACGTGTCGCGTTTCGAGTGGGCTTTAGTGGAGATGCAGCAATAAAGCTCCCTCTAAGATCATTTGAAGCTAAATATGATGAGAGGTTAATATAAATGTTTTCTTTCTTTTTTTTTGTCCAAAAAAATGCCGAAAACATGTTGCCTAGCCCAGCTTTAAATATCATTATTTATCCCTCTGTTGCCCTCGAGACCTGAAATTGTGTATTTGTGCATATAGATGTATGATTTGATTTCTTTAAAGAACGTGTTTCCTTAGGGCATGACCACAATTCAATGAAGGGAAAGAAGCGGTGATGGCTTCTTGAAGTTTTGGCACGCTCAAAGAAGCGGATCAATATTGACAAGTGTTATTATGAAGCAGAAACTTGTCAGTGTTGTGCTGATCAATCTGTAGCATCGTTTATCCATATCTGGTCGCAGGACTTTTCCTTTTTACCTCAGTCTTGGTGTGATATTAGCATAATGGAATGAAGTAATATATTTTTTCTGGTACAACTATGTTAGAGAGAAAGGGAACTAAGAGAATTTGAGTATATCACTGTGCGCAACACAACATTTACATGGTTTGTTTTATACATTAGTGCGTTTTTCAGTAATTGAAAGGTCAGGTGGTGATATTTTCGTGAGGTTTTATCATGAAGGGGAAGCAGTGTTGGTCTCATTTAGGTTGCTGTTTGTTTTGTTTTTTTGTCTTTTAACTGCTGTGTTTTGAGCAGAACAATCGCAAGATGTTGTGTACCTGCCATATTTGTTTGTCATTTTTTCATGTTTGTATAGATGTGTCACAACAACCTGATAACAGCCTAAAAATGTTCCACTTTTTCGTTTGTTACCTTTTAAATTGTTCCAAAGCCTCAGGCATTCATGCAGTAAACAAGTAAATTGGATATGGGTTAAGAAAGAAACACAACATTCACAAACAGTGAAGAGAAAACTGAAATATCATCACCTTAAAGTATTAATTCAACTCGGCCACGCTTGATGCTTTTTTCCCTCTTTTTTTTTTTTTTACGTCAGTAACACAGCTGACAAAAATAATAGTTTTCAAAGGAAATAAGCTCATAAGACTCCAAAATATCAGTTACTCCTTTTAATTTATTGTTAAATCATATTTTATAAGGTTTTATGAGCAACTTTCATGACCCATTAATTCTCACTCTTTCCCTGCCGCTAAGTAAAGAACAAACAACTCTCCGGTTACAGGTTAACATATCTAAAGGACTTTTCTTTCATCCAGACATCAGAAACGTTCTTTTCTTTGTGAACAGAGGTTTGTCTCTGCTGTCCACACGAATGTCAGAGTTTGATCCTCACAGCTGTGTGAAAATCGAGTTTTACATTTCACACTGTCAGGAATAGCAGTGCACTATTGACAGTGTTTCACTTTATGTCCCTTAAGTCTTGAGAAGCTTCGTCATAATTTGACAAGATGCTCAAGTATTTGTATGCGAGGAAAATGCAATTGAATCAAGTTCAACAATCATAGAAACCAAATGTGAAAAGATTTGCAGACTGAATGCTATTTTGTAGCATTTTATACATAAATATTGGCAACATGTGAACTTTTATTTTACTGTTTGAGCCCAGCATGTGACATTTTTTTATTTACCCTTGTTTTCATTTCCGAGACAGAACTGTTTCGTATGCTGTTTTATTTATATTTAGAGATAATGAATAAACACTGAAATGTTTAATCGTCTATAGTTCTCATATAAAAGACTCCAAATGTTTTATTTGCAAGTGTTAAAAACAGTGAATATTCTGAAAAGTTTTATCTGTGTAACTTTTTATTTGCCCTGTTAAGACTTACGTTTATGTACACTGACACCTCAAATGCCTATTTAAAATGATAGCCTTTTGATTTTAACTTATTTTTTTTTTCATTTCCTTTGTCTAAAGAAAGATTTTTTTTAAATAATCCTTTAAAAACAGATTTACCAAAAAAGATCCAACAATTTTCTTCTTCTCACTTTGAAGTCTGGACAGGATTTAATGGTAAAATCCAGAACAAATATTCAAACAGGACTTTGAAAAGCACAGTCCCAAACAGCTTGTGTGTGTGTGTGTGT